GCATCCCGAGATAGTTTGCAAATGATTTCAAAAAATTTATAAGCGTTTTCGAAAGAGTTAAAATTTGCGAAAAATTGGCCCTAGTTAGTCTAGGCCAAATTTCACCTTTAGTATTCTCCACTTGTGGAAGTTCAGTATTCTAGTAATTTTAGTCTTGTGGATGCATTTTAATGTAGTTGATTCTAGGCTACTTTCATTGGGACGTGTAGTTCACTATTTGGATTCAATGGCACAGCTGCTAGTTGTTTTTAAGTATAGTACATATTTGTATCTATAATTTTATCGTTCCAAAAAAAAGAAAAAAAAAATCTCGATATATAACATATGAAGATTGAAATAACTGGTGCATAATTTTAATCCTTTATTTATTAGAAGTTTAAAAAAAGGGTTAATTGCTATTTAAACCTTTACCTTTCAGCTTTTGGCAATTTAATCCAAACTTTTGGATAATTGCAATATAATCCTAACTTTGACTTACTTTTGCAAAATGAACTTAATTTTCGCCGGAGGTTCAAAAAATGCCAACGTGTCCGATTGTTTATATCCACATTGGATTTTCAGTTTGCTGAGTGGCAACACATAAAATACGTGGAATTTGGCAAATTTAAGATTTAATTGTACAGTCATCCCCAAAATTAAACCTCATAATTGTACCCAANCCAAAAAAAAAAAAAAAAAAAAAAACTGATAAAAAATTTCCCAAATTCTTAGAACCCTACATCTCCACCTTGACAATCATGCTGCCAGTATTCCGGCCACCACCGGTGACTCCAATGTCAAATGTTGGGAAAAGCTTCTTTACCTCTAACCCCACTAAAACACTCTACAGAAACCCTAATTTCAATTCAACGCCAATCTCCACCATCACGCAATGCCTCTCTTCGATGGGCATCAACCTCGCCGCCGCCTGTCAGATTATCGATATGTAACCTCAGCTCTTCATCGTCGACCCCTACAGAGGCGTTTACCGAATATTCAATTTCCTATGAAGCTCGAAAATTCATAATTCAGGGACCTAGAACTCAGTTCGGCCCTAAAGGCCCGATTGAGGCCCACATTGGAGTTTCTGGTTGAATTCGGCTTCTTCGGCCCAATTCGTTGATACCAAAGGTTGAGTTTTTGGTTGGGATAGGGTTCGAACAGTATGACGTCATACACAAATGACGCTGGGGTCACTGGGATTGCAATCCAAACAGAAAGGGATGGGGCTGGGGACGAATGCCCGACCGACGGCGAATTTAGTGGTGCAGTAGGTAAGGATGGTCGCACCGGAATCTCCCACCCTTGCAGCGCCGGCGAGGAGGAGCTTTTGGCCGGGGAAGGTAAACTGGACTGTCGTGAAGGTTTTGGGAGGTGGAGTTCTTTTTTGCCTTTTTTTTATTTTGTTTTGTTAAATTGATGATTATGATAAGTGTATGATTTAATTTGGGGAACATTTTTATAAGCTCTAATTTGTTGATTGGTTTAATCTAGGGCATTTTCAGAATTTTAATTGAGGTGGATTTTTTTATTTTTTAATCCTAACTTGTTAATTCCACATATGAGCCATGTCATCGCCATATAAGTTTTCAGTCATAAAAATTTGCCACTCAGCAAACTGATTTCCAACGTGGATATATTCTGCCTGACACGCTGGCATTTTTTGAACCTCCGATGAAACTTAAGTTCGTTTTGCAAAAGTAAGTCAAAGTTAGGATTATATTGCAATTATCCAAAAGTTTGGATTAAATTGCCAAAAGCTGAAAGGTAAAGGTTTAAATAGCAATTAACCCTTAAAAAAAATGGTAGTTGATAATGGGATTTTAAGTTTGTATTAAAATAATATTTAAAATAAAATAATTAATATTGATTTGATTTAAAGGTATGTGATGAATAATTGAAAGTGATAGATAGAAAAATTATTTGAATGAATAAATAATGAATTAAAGTTGATGTGAAGTGTAAAATTAGTTATTGATATTATTTAATTATATTGATAATATTGAGGATATTAGTGTTGATTTAAAAGTGAGATAAATTTTGAGTATGCATTGAATATAATATAGATATTTGTTTAAACAAACACAACCTTAATATAGGATTTTGCAACTATCATCACTAACTAGTTTTACCCCGTGCATTTGCACAAAAAACGATATAGTAAAAGAGAAAATAATTGAAAATACAAAGTAAAATAAAAATCATACAGATTTTTTTTTAAAAAAAAAAAAATCGAAGCTAAATATTGCTAAACACTTCTTCATATGCAACAGTCGTGGTTTTCCCCATCACAACAAATCATTATCGTTAACCCTCTTCGACTCGTGACTCTGGAATTTGATTTTTCAAAATATTTGATGTATCTTTGTAATATCGCAAAAAATATTTTTTTATTATTGTATGACAACAATAGAAAATGGAGATATTTGTAGTTATTATTAATTAATTGTGAAATATATATTTATATGATACCAAAAAATATATAATATCAATATAAAAAAAATATTTTTTATTTCAGGACATGAAAAAACGTTACAGAAATGGGCACCATAAAAAATGGGATCTGTCAAAATAAATTGTGTAACTAAAAATTACATATTATTATTAATTGATGAACATATTTTTATTAAATGAACACCTATTTTTATTATATGAATATCATATGTGTATATATATATAAAGAGGAGCAACAAAGCATTTAATTTTATTAACATGCATTAAATTTTATTCTCCCTCCAAAATTTTCAGCATTCAATATCATTTTTAAGTTACAAAATAACTTGCTCGAATGCCATAAATTATGAGCATAAACCAATCAAGAGAGTTACAAAATTGTACCTAAATTTTAAGTCACACCCACTCATGAAAATAACCGGGTGTATTAGCATAAAGAAAATAGTTGTAACGGCTCTTCCTTAGCAATTACTTGATCAAAATCAATTTTGAGAACTATTCTCTTAATTCATATTTTTTTTCATAAATAAATTTATGATTTATTTATTTTTTTATATATATTTTTATGTTTTTAAAGTATTCGTCTCTGTGCAAATCCACAGGTTGATTACTAATTCTTATTAAATGCTGGTTGAATAAAATTTATTGAAATTTATCAGCAATTATATATATATATATATATATATATATATATATAGATGAATTCATTGCTAATCACGCATCTTAGATCCAAATAATGCCCACGTAACACAAGAAGTACGAGGTTATTGTATAATCGTTAAAACAAAAGTATATAGATGTAAACATTATCTTTTTAGCAATTATTCTCAAATAATGTACACAACGTGCCTTTTCATTGACCACATACGTTCAAAAATTAAATGACAACAAGAAGTTATCCATCACTTCCATTGAATTCCTAGTGCAATCCAAATGTCACAACATTTTGTAACGAGTCCCATCTCTATAAGACGCATTATTCGGTCCATCAGTTTCCAATCTACAACTCCCATCAGTTATTTCATGAAATGTGAGTGAAGGATATGTATGATGTCATATGAAAAGTATATATCAACCTTTTTTCTTGCATCCAAAAATGGGTAAGAGGACTATTCATGAGTCCCTAGGTATACATATATCCTTACTCCAACTAGAAAATAAAAATTCTTCTTATTTTTGTTTCCTCATCAGAATATATCTAAAATCTCTTCATCACACATCATTAATTGATTCTCATTCTTTCATTCTTATCTCCAACTCTTCATTTTATAATTTTTACTTTTTAATCGTTTTTCGGACTTCATCTGTAAAACTTTATATTTATTTCACATATCCTGCATCTTGAGTTAATGTACCACCGAAAGGAATAAGAGCTTCGCTTTTCCACATCACTTTGAAACTTCATGTCTCACATGAAAGAAAATAATCAAATGTTAACTGCAAATTCGAACTATAAAATATTACAACAATTTTTTACTTCAATTTAAGTAGATTTAGATTATAACCTTCATAATAAAAATAAATCCAACAAAAATATGCCAATATAATTAGTTTTTATATTAGATTTTGACGGTTTCAAATATATTTCAACTTTTGGAATTATCGTGGAAAAAAAATAGTTGTTAAGAAAATTTATTATTGAAAGCGTGCATCTTGTATATAAAAAAATTCAATCCATATTCAATTCATATACATAATTTAACTCAACTTTAACCCAACTTCACTATCCCCAATATTATCAATATAATTAAATAATACAAACCAAACATTCTTACAATCACATCAACTTTAATTTACTATTCATAATCTCACATAATTTTAACTAATTGTTTTATAGTATTTTGTGGGTAGTTGGTAACCGAGCTACCCGACCTCTAGTCGTTCTCAAAGGAAGACAGTTCGGAGCTTTGTTCACTACTCAATTGTCCAAATCACACAAAATAAGAAATAAAAGCTAAACATGCTAATCAATTTGGATTGGAGGTGAATTAACACTAATTGCACAAGAAAACGAGAGAATAACGAAATTAACACTACTGGAGTCTCTATGCCATCACAACTGAATGAACTCAACCAAGAGAAATAAGCAAGTCTTAAGCACTAGGTCATAAACCTAACTTTCTACCGTAAGTGATTAAGCTCTAAATAGAGTCCTAACCTTTAATCTAGATAGGCAAGTAGTTAATCCCTACTAAAACAAGCAAGAGCAATGATCAAGTCCAAACATTCCCTCCATCATCAAGCAAACACCCAAATTCACCTTGATAATCATCATAAGTAAAAACGAGGCAAAATCGAAGTAATAAGCTTTAAAAGTAAACACTCAATCTTCTATTGCGTGCTAGATGAAAATCAAAGTCAAAAGCTCGGAACTTGAACAAAATAAAAATTGCCGGAAAAGTCGTCGGAGAATGATGACATAAGCTCCCAAGGGAGAGAGAAGTCAGAAAACTAAAAAGATAAGATTAATTCCTAAAGTGGTAAAGTGAGAAATGAAATCTAGATAGTCCAAATACAAAGGACCAAAACATATTTATAGTAGAATCTAAGAGCACACACTAGGTGCACACACTTTACTAATCTGCAGCTCGCAGGTCTCGAAAAGAAGTTCGCACTGAGTTTTGGAGTGAAAATGAACTAAAAAACGGACGTTGGCGGGGCGCCAAAAAGGACTCGCAGCGAGTATGCACTGATGGGCGTGTGGGCTGCCACTTCGCAGAACGCGAGCGTGTTTTCGCCACGAGTGCGCCAGTGGGAGTTGCGTGCCAGCCGCTTCACGAGCCGCGAGTTGATGTCCACAGCGAGTGTGCATGATGGTGCCGTGTGCGAGCCGCGTCGCAGGCCGCGAGCAATGGTTGGCAGTGAGTGCCAGGCTTGGGCGTGCGGGGTCTTACGTTTCACGAGGCGCGAGTCTCCTTTCGCTGCGAGTGCTAGCGCGGCGCGAAGCTCCGTTCATAGCGAGCGTGCGCCTGGACAGCCTCCTCATGTGTGCGTCTCGCGGAGCGCGAGTTCTTCTTCGCCGCTAGTGCGGCTTGTGCGCCTGGTGTCTTCGCTGGTCACGAGTCCATGTTAGCTGCGAGTGCGGGAGTGGCTAGGTTGACTTAGTTAGGCTCGTGACTCGACCAAGTAGCTTGGGTGATTCAGGGCTAATTTGAGTGGCTCGTAAATGGCTCAAAAAATTACCCATCTTCCCAATCGTACCAATAGGACCTACACAACACACAAAAATACGCAAGAAAAACGGCCAAAATACAAAAACACATAATAAAAGTGAAAATACATAAAACACGACAAAATGGACCGGTTGACACAAAACCAAACCTAAAAAACGCCAAATTAAAACACATAAATCACACGAAAATAAGCACAAAAACACAATAAACAACTCCCCCACACTTAGCTTTTTGCTTGTCCTCAAGCAAAAAAAACAATAAGTAGTTCGAAAAAAAAATATCGAGAGGTCTAAGGTTAACAATCATACGAAAATGAGACTCTCATTTTCATCCGGTAATACATAGAATCAAACTCCAATTCGAAAACATGTTCCCCACAAGATGAATCCATACAAAACAAAAACACGTTCCAAGTCATCCTGCACATGATTTTCTCGATTTAAGCTTCCCTTTTCTACATACACGTGCAAAAAGCTAAATGCAGTCTAATAAAAATGTAAAATACGATAAGCACGAACCAATAAGCCAACTCCCACTCTTTTATTTGTTTGCTTGTGCTTTTTTTTTATGTGTGCTTCTTTTTCCGAACGAGGTTTCCTAGACAATGCTTATCTAGGTTTATCCTTGATTGGTCACTCGAGTTCCCTAGAATGGTTTCTCGGGCTCATTATCCCATTCCACGAGGTGGCTCAAGATAAGAGGGGCCTAGTCCGTA